CAGCAGGCTAGGTGGCACCACGAGGGGCAGCAGTTCCTCGCTGCCCTCACATGCCCACATATCCCCCTATCCCTCCCAGCCTGTCCAGGGAGCTGCTGTGCCATGGGGGCACCACCAGGACCCTCCACCAGTCCCAGCCCACTCACAAAGATGCTCAGCAGGATGATATTCCATGGAAAGCGTCTCCTGAGGACAAAACGAGGAGAGAGGTGAGCTGGTGATAGGGGCTACATCATGTTCCTCTGGTCTGCAGTCCCCCAGGGGCAGCCCCAGGCAAGACCCCCAGTCTTAATGCTCTAGAGACACCCCTGCCATATCCACATACCCCACCCTGTGGGTCCCAGAGACTCACCGGGGACCCTGGCAGCAAGCCAGCACCAAGTAGGTTACCAGGAACACAGCACTACAAAGAGAGGCAGGAGGTGTCAACCCTGCAATCTCCCACCAGGACCAGCCCCCAGGCTGGGAGGCTGCAAATATGGGGGGCACAAGCTGGGGGAGCACAAGCCAGCAGACCCCCTACTCACTATGAGGCGTAGTAGATGGCAATATTTTCCTGGACGAAGGAGCGGACAGGGTGGCTGTGGGACAGGAGGGACAAGCATGAGGGAGGGGGTACAGCAACTACTGTCCCCTTGGAATACCCCCAAGGGACACAGGGTCGGGCTCCCCTCTTTTTCAGGACAAGGCTACTCACTGTAGCCACCCCCTCCACTCACACAAAGGTGAACACAGAGATGATTCCCACTGTCACCAACAGCTGCAGGGAGATGATGGCATAGACCTGCAAGAGACAGAGGGGTCAGCATCTGGACCCTTGCCCTGACAGGTGCTGCCCCACCCTGAACAGATGCCCCCAGCCCCTCTGGACTCACCTTGCGGATGAAGGTGTGCCGGATTTTCCTGTCGTCCCAATCAACTGATTGGAAGGGGGAGCCATCCCCAATGCCATCGCCACCTGTGGTGGTGGACACTCCTCAGCACCAGGTTCAGCTGCACAGCCCCTCACAGCACCCCTGTTTCTAGTGCCTTCCCCCCACAAAAAACAAGGTGCTGCCACTTACCAAAGCGAACAGGCATGGTGGGAATGGCCATCCCTGGATGAGAGTACCCCCCTGCTGCTGGGTAGCCCCCTGGCTGCCCGTACCCTGCTGCTGGGGGGTATCCCCCCGGCTGTGGGTACCCCCCAGCGTAGGGATGGGGCTGGGGGTACCCTCCTGGGGGTGGGGGGTAGAGGGGGTTCTTGTCATCGTAAGCTGGGGGTGCACTGGGCTGGGACATGCCGGCTCCCTGTGTCTCCCACAGGCACCTGGAGGGGAGAGAAGATGGGGGGTGTCAGCACAGGTTCCCCTCCCCAGGCAGGACGTGCTCCTGGTAAGTGAAGCCACAGGTGTAGGGACACAGGGGACCGTGCAGCCACAAAACCTCCCCCTCCCACTTCAATAGTGGCTCCTAATTAATGACAACAAGTTGGCCTCGATGCCAGCAGGTCAATGAGAGGTGAGGGATGTCCCCACTGACCCTTGGCCGGGGCCACCCACATTCCTGTGCCCTGAGTCCCCAGTGCCTGCGTCGTGGTCAGCCACGGGCAGGGCACAGCCACACGCTGACTCAAGCTGCGTCAGGGACATGACCTTTCCAAAAGGGATTTGACCTCTCCGGCTTTTGGAGCCCACCCTGCCATTGCTGGGGGGCAGGAAACAGCCCCCCCACGTGCCAGTGTGTGGCTCTTAGTAGCACCAGTCTGGGGACAAATGACATCAATTCTATCCACTGCCTGAGATAGAAACACAGGGCCTGATCCTCATCACAGCCATGCAGACTCCCACTGCCCCCCCCATTTCAGGGGTGTTCCCCACCCAACAGCCCAGTGGGTCACACGGAGGCTCCAGAACTCCTGAGTCCCTTCAGGGAGGGGACAAGTGACAAGTATAAGAACAAGTGACATAAGCATCACCTCTGCAGAAGATGGACTCTTCCTTGGTGAGGGGAGTCGTGACCCCATCAGGGCTTAGCTCCCCTCCCCGGCCGCACCAGGCCCCCTCACAGAGCCCCCAGCAGCTGTGAGCAGGCAGCCCGGGCTCAGGGCCAGCTGCTGGGCTTGGCCCCAGCAGGAGGAGGAGGAGAAGGAAAGCAGGATCTTCAAGGCCAGGAAAACAACAGCGCTGCCAGAAGATGGTGCCAGGCCTTTCTTTACCCACCTGCCACCCCCAGAGTGCTGGCACCCCAGACCCCAGGCAGGTGCCAACACTCGCCACATCCCCCCTGCCTGCAACGGTGACGTGATTCTGGGACCATCCCGAGGAAGGAACCAGGATCTGATCCCAACCAGGACGAGGCTGGGAGGAGATCGGGCACTTCCTCCTGTGTGACGCCAGTGTTTCCCACAGCCAGGCTGGACAGGCAGCAGTGCTGGGGGGCACACCCATGCCAGCCATGCCAGGCCAGGGGGAGTAGTGAGTGGTTCAGTGTCTGTCCCTCCATCCCTCCTGCCATCCGTCTGCCCCAGCCCTGGCAGAGCTGCCATGGTCGTACTGCCCTTTGGTATCATGATGACGATAGCGCTGAAAATAAATAACCCATGTGGTGGTGACCACCCGAACAGGAAGCTCACTTTCTCCACTTCCCTGTAGTTTCCTAAAAAAGCACACGGTGTCCCATGGCACCACCTCGCCTATGGGGCCAGGGAATGGCCCAAAATAGGAGTCTGACCCCAGGAAAGTCCCCATGACTGGCACTCAGTTATAGGGGGACCAGAGTCCCCAGGAGGGAACCCAGGTGTCTAGGGAAAATGGGGTGTATCCGGCCAGCAGGTGGTCACTGGAGGGGTCCTACCCTGTGCCTGTGGCCAGCACCCCGTGGCAGAGGTCCACTGACTGCCCCAGCCCCTCCTGCTCCCACCCCACCGGGGTGGCCTTGGGCACAGGGGAGGAACCAGCCTGACGGGTCCCTGCGGCCGCCGCACCCAGGGAAGCAGGCAGCTCTCTGAACCCTCCTCAGTTCGTGGCATATCAGGGCCCTGAAATGAGAGGCCACCAAATGGCCACGCGGGACAGTTTGGTGACCCTGCTGTGACACGCAGTCCTGGGGACAGGGTGCTGCTCTGCACTGGCACCGTGACTCAGCACAGATAAGGCACATGTGGCAGGGATATGGGGCACAGGAACCGTCACCCCTTGTCACGGCCCTGTGGGTGGCACGAAGTAGTGTCCCCACCACTGGCCCTGGTATTCCTGCTGGGCTCAGCCTTCCACCACCAGCTCCACAGGCTTCCTGGGGCAACAAGGGCCACTTTGGGAAGGGACCATGGTTTGGGGTGGGAGCCAGGGCTCCCCACACTGAGGCTGCCTGAGAAACTACTTTACTCTAGAAGAGCCTGGAAGCCCCCACCAGAATGGCATGGCTTGGTACAGCACAGCCTGGCACGGCACAGCACAGCCTGGCATGGCATGGCACAGCCTGGTGTGGCACAACACAGCACAGCTGCTGCATGCAGCATGGCACAGCTTGGCACAGCACAACCCAACACAGCACAGCAGAACTTACCCTGGCCTAGCCTAGCACAGCCCAGCTCAGCTCACGCGAGTAGGTCAATGTGGCCCACCCAGGCCAGATGTCCCCATGCCACTCACACAGGACACAAGTTTGCTGGAGATCAGCCTCGCCACCACTGCATCTCTGCCCCCCTGCGAGCCCCCTCCTGAGGGGCAGGGCATGGGACAGGGGTGTCCTTCTGTGTCCCAGCCCAGGCACCCCCACAACACCCAGTGCCTGTCCCCACACCACCTTCGGTGCCACCCCACACCCTGACAGGCACAAACCCTTGCCCTCCCCTCCCGTCACACCCCACGGGGGCCGTGGGGATACCCTCCACAGAACTAGAGTCGGTGCCCCCCCACGGACCACCCCACACCACGCCCCGATTCCCCGCCACGCGATCCCGTGGGGTCCGGAAAACAGCACCAACGCCACAGTGGGACCCCGCGCGTGGGGGTCCTGTCCCGCGGCCGACCCTGCTCGCAGGAACGCCCTCTGACCCCGATCCCCCCGCCGCTGGACCTCAACGGGACGTGCCCCCACGCACTCCGAGGACAGGGGTGCGGGGGGTTGCAGCGCGTCCCCGCTGTTTGGTGACCGGCCGCCCACTCTCGCCCGGTCCCCGCCGACCTCCGGGACGGTCGGGAGAGCGGTGGTTCAGCCCCTGGCCGGCCGTGGCACCGGAGGGCGCAGGGACAGGGGGGTGGGGGGGCAAACCGGGCGGCGGGGAGTCGGGAGAACGGGAGGGGGGAACCGCCGGGGGCCCCACGCGGGACTCGGGTGCGCGGGGAGGGGCGAGGCGGGCTGCCCTACCTGCTGCGCGCTGCTCCGCCGGGCTGAGCCGCGACCAGCCGGGACGAGCCGGGACGGGGCGGGCGGACGGGGCGGGGGCGGGCACCGCCCGCCGCGCCCCCCCGCGGCGGCTCCGCGCCCTGCGCCCCGTGACCGGGATGCGCTCCCGCGCTCCCCCGCCTGTTGCTTCCCGGGACGGGCCCCGCTGGCCCCTCGCCCGCCCCCCGTCGGGATCTCCTTGCCACCGCCTCTGACGTCACTCAGAGACCCCCTTCCTCACACAGTGACGTCAGCGGGGAGACACCCCTTTCGGTGGCGGCGGGGGGGATGGAATCCTCTCCCGTCGCCGGTGACGCGGTCGGTGTGTCCCGTGTTTGTGTCCCGGTTCCCGCGGCGGGGCCGGCAGGGGGCGCGGTGGGCGCGTGACGCCGGTAGCGGCATGGCCGCGGGGCCCGGCGGGGCGGCGGCGGCGGCGGTGGTCGGGGCGCGGGGGATCGGGGCCGCCTGCCTGCGCCTCCTCCGCCGCGCCCGCCGCGCCGCCGCCGCGCTCATGGCCTTCGCCGCCCCGCTGCTGTTCCGCCTGGGGTGAGTGAGGGAGGGAACGAGTGAGTGAGTGGAGCGTCTGCCTCTCGGCACCCGCCGCCGGGAGGGGGCCACCGCCGCCCGCCTTTGTGCTGCCGCCGGGAGGGAGGGCCCGTCCTCCTCTGCCTGTGCGGAGCCGCCCGCCGAGGACCTGCGGCCCCGCTGGCGCGGGGAGGCCGGGCCGGGGCTGGAGCTGGCGGGGGCACAGCCGCCCACCCGTGCTCAGCCTGCCCGCGTCGGGGGGGCGAGGGCGGGCGCTGCCAGCCCGATTGCGGGGTCGGGGAACAGCGCCGGCTCCCCCCGCGCGGTGCCGGTCACCCCCGGATCTCTCACTGTCCCCTGGGAGCAGCCTTCCCTCGGATGTCATCGCTGACCCATCCCGGTGCCCCGGCCGTGGCCGGGCTGCCAGTGCTGGCAGAAGCCCCCGTTCCCCGGTTTGGGGTTCCCACCGCCACAAAAGCGGGAGACTCCCTCCCGGTGTCCCTGCCGGTGGATGTCACCATCCAGGGGTGCCCTTGGCTGGGAATGGGCTTTGCAACCCAGGACTTTAAACGTCCGTCATGGTACCATTCCCCGTCCCGTTCTAAATCGCTGCTGTATGAATGGGGAGGTCCCTCCGAGCCCCCAGCCTTTGTCTGTTGTATGCCCACATGCACGGGGGGCATTTCTCTCTTCCCTTTTCCCTGGCCCATTCCCTCTTCCCTCATCCCCAGGACCACAGCACCCAGGGCAGGCTTGGGCATGGCCCCTCCGGAGCAGGGGTAGGGACAGCCAGAGTGCTAATCTGCCCTGGGGCTCCAGCCCCTCCTGGTGAGCAGAGCCCTCCTGGACAGATGGATGGACAGATGGACACCCCACAGTAGTGTTCCTCCCCCCCCCATCCTTGCTGCCTGGAGCAGCTGGAGGGGACCTGGCTGGGAAATCAGTCCTGCCTTCACTGCAGATCCGGAGTATGGGATACACACACGCCACTTCCAGCCCCCATGCATGGAAAGTGACCCTGTATGTGTCCCCTGTGAGAGTCCCAGTCCAGGCAGCAGCCCCCTCCCCATGCGGGCTCCCTAGGGGGTTTGGGGGTTAATGCCAAGGGGTGTCTACCCTCCCCAGGTACAGCCTGTATGCCCGCACGCGCCTGGGCTACCTCTTCTACCAGCGGCAGGTGAAGAAGGCCCGGGAGCGGTACCCACATGGCCATTCTGTGCCCCAACCCTGCTGCTTCCCCGGTAAGTCCTGGCTAGCCCCCCCCACACCATGGCCTCACGGTGTCCCCCAACACTGGCACTCTGGGGTGGGGAGGGGTTGCCATCGCCAAATTGCCCAAAGCATACTTAACTAAGAATTTGATGTAAGATGCTGGAGTATGGCCCGGACCTCTGCTTTTCCAGCCCAGGGGGTCATGCTCTCATGTCTATCTGTCTGTCCCTGTTAGGGGTGAAAATCCTGCCCATTCCCGTGCTCTCCAACAACTACAGCTACCTGGTCATCGACACTGGCTCCAGCCGAGCGGCCGTTGTCGACCCCTCTGACCCACTGGCTGTGCAGGTGAGACCCCCTAAGCCACCCATATCTGGTCTTCAGGTGTCTCCAGGTGAGGGGGTGGCACAACTCTGTACTTTGAGGGCAGAGGGGGGCAAATCTGCCCCTAATCTGCAGCCCTTAGTGCCCAAGGCTGGAGTGTGGCAGTGCTCATCCAACGCCTTGGGGGGACTGAATTTAGGGAGATACTGGTACTTGGGTTCTGTGTCCCCTCTAAATCTCTCTGTTTCCTCCCCATTCCCAGGCTGCCATTGAAGAAGAGGGGGTGATGCTGGAGGCCATATTCTGCACACACAAACACTGGTAAGGGGCAAGGAGGGACATGGGGGTGAGTCAGTGGCTGCCGTGGAGGGTGCCCCATCGGATGGCTCCCAGCCCTGCCCCATTTAGGGAGGGATATGGAGGGGGGGGCACATTTAGGGCTGCTGACCTCCCTGTCTGCAGGGACCACAGCGGAGGGAACGCGGCGCTCTGCCAGAAGCACAATTCCTGCAAAGTATACGGCAGCGCTCTTGATGCCATCCCACAGCTCACCAAGTAAGTCCTGCGCCCCCCTGGCAGCCCTGTCAATTTAGGGGGGGGCTTCACTCCCAACCACCACTGTCTGTGCACTCACCTACCACTCCATCCCCCAAGTACCGTGTTGCCCCCATCGTGGGCAGAGACCTGGCATGTTCATGACACCAGTGCGTGGGGAAGGGTTGCCTGGGGAGTTGGGTATTTTGAGGTGCTGGGGGTGGGGGGAGCACACTGACAGTGCCCTCTGTGCCCGGCACAGCCCACTTGCAGACAGGGAGAAGGTGAGTGTGGGCTGCCTGACCTTCGAGGCGCTTGCCACACCTGGCCACACTGTGGGCCACATGGTGTATGTGCTGGACGGGGAGCCCTTTGGCAGCCCCCCCTGCCTCTTCTCCGGGGACCTCCTCTTCCTCGCTGGCTGTGGTGAGTGCACCTGACCTGGGTGTTGGGGTGTTATTCCACCCTGGGAAGGGCTTGGGGGTACCTCCCAATGCCCCCCCTTGACAAGCAGTTGTGCGGGAGTCCAGGCAGGCCATTCGAGGGCTCCCCTGAGACCATGCTCGCCTCCCTGGACATGGCCATGGGCTTGGGTCAGGACACGCTGCTGTGGCCGGGTGAGTGTCCCCAACAGCAGGGTGGAGTCACTGGTGTCCCCCTAGTCCCCACTGCCAAGTTGGGGAGCTGTGTGGGGGTGATGCTGAGGGCTGTGTATGGGGGTCAACAGGCCACGAGTATGCACTGGAGTGCCTGACCTTCGCCAGCCTCCTGGAGCTGGACAATTCTGCGCTGGAACAGAAGCTGCAGTGGGCAGTGCAGCAGCGCCAGGAGAAGAGGAGTACGGTGAGGCATGGGGGTCCCTTGGCTGCAGCACCCACCACCCCAGCGCCTCACAGGGATCCCCATCCCTTGGCAGGGATGCTGCACCCCAACATCCTCTTTCATGGCGGGTTCCTTAAGGGAAGGGGGTTCTGGGAGGGGTTCCAGCTCCCTGCCAGGGGTGCTGCCTCTGTCAGGGGAGCTGAATGGCTGGCCCCACAGTGCCCCTCCACACTGGGGGAAGAGCAGACCTACAACCCCTTCCTACGGACACACCGGCCGGAGCTGCAGGAGGCACTGGGACTGTGGCAGGATGGGGGAGAGGACCCTGATGCCTTCCGCGCCCGCGTCCTCAAGGAGGTGCGGAGGCGCAAGGACCTCTACCAAGCCACCTAGATCTTCCCTCCCCTTTCCATGGGGCCGGGTGATATTTGGGCACAAGGGGCCCAAGACTCTGTGTGTTTCAATTTGCTGTGAATCTCCCTCCTGGGGTGCATGGCTGGGGGGGAAGAGTGGACACCCCTTTACATGGGCACCCAGTAAGTGATCCCTGCCTTTGCTCCCCCAGACTTGGGGGTCACCAGCTGTCATAGAAGCACCTCGATCCCCTTTCTGGGGGTCTGTAGCCCCCCCTGCCCCACTGCTAGGGCTATGGGGATGGCACCAAGGGCTTTTCCTATCCCCCCTCCCTGTTTTTCTGGGAGTCTCCAATTTCCCCACCACCATTACCACTCGGCTACCTCCCCTTACCCTGGCAGCCCCTAGTGCTGTGCATCTCTTTTGGAGGGGGCTGTGATGGAGTCTGCAAGGATAGGTGGGGGGCAGTACTACCTCCAGGCAAGGGGCTCCTCTCCAGCACCCCATCCTTGACGCTGGAGCTCCCCCTGCGCGCACACACACACACAGACACACACACAGAGCTGGGGACATGGGCTCACACTGGTGTGGGGTGGGAGACGCTACTGTACGGGACACACACACACCCCCCCACACACCCCAAATAAAAGACTAGATCGATTTTATACCTGTTCGTCCCTTTCTCTCCACGTTGGCGGGGCCCCTCCGCGGGACACCCCGCCTCGGCGGTGCGGCCCCTTTAAGAGGTGGGGCCAAGCCGTTGCCTTGGAGACGGTGAGGCGTCGGGGGGCCCGGGGCCGGTCCGGCGGGTCGGGGGTCGGACCGGGGGTGACACGGGCCGGGGGCTGCACTGCTCCCCCCGGGGTCACGCCTGGAAAGGCACCGCGGTTCGGGGGAGCCACGCCGCCGCCTCACCTGAGGGTCCGGCAGCAGGAGCTCCCAGGCGAGGCATGGAGACCGGGCAGGAGATCCCGGCCCTCACGGACACGGCTGCCGAGTTCCTGAGCCTCATCGGTGGGTGCCCCCTCCAGCCTCCCCTTTGTCCCCCGCACGCCGTGCCCTGGGGGGTCGTCGGTGCGGGGGGTGGGGGGCACCGGGTCCGGCAGGAGAGAGATGGATAGTGGCGACTTGAGCAGGATAAATGGGGAGGGGCTCGGCCCAGCCTGCGGGGGGGGGGGGGGGGGGGGGGGGGAGGAAATGAGGCAGGGAGAGGCCCTGGGCAGGGGTGATGGTCGCTCCGGGAAGGGGTGACCATCCCTCCGTGCAGGGCTGAAGGAGCTGGAGCACTGCCTGTTCGCCGAGACGCTGGCAGTGGTGGGCACAGGGGACCCGCCAAGGGACAAGGCAGAGGGCCAGTGGTGGATGGCAGCCCAGTGGGCACCCTACAGACGGGAAGGTGAACCAGTGCGGAACTGCATCCTGGTGCAAGCCAGGTTCCGAGGCTGGCAGGATGGTGTGCCTAGATCCAGCACCCTCAAAGGTGAGCCGGGGTGCTTTTGGGTGTCCCCCCCACCTCAGGGCTGGGGCACCCCTGTCTCACCAGCCCCCAGGGCTAGGAATGGGACAGTGCCAGCAAGATTGGCTGAGCATGGCTTTGCTCTGCCAGCCTTTGTGACCCCACAGCTGGAGACCCTGGAGCAGGAGGAGCAGGAATGCTTGGAGGTGACTGATGTGGTGGTGGCGGTGGCATGTCCCCTTCCCCATGTCCTGCCCCCTGTCCTGGGGTGTGCCCTGCAGTGGTGCCCTCTGGGAGGATATGCTCCATGCAAGGCCACTCTGGGCAGTCTGGTGTCCCCTCCCAGGCTCGGACTCCAGCTCTGTCCCACCAGCCTGGTCCCCATTCCCTACTCTGGGTGGAAGTTGGGGCAGGGAGTTTCCCACAATGCTTCTTATGGGGTACCCTGATTGAAAGCAGTGCTGGGGTATGCCACCTCAGAAAAAGCGGTGCCCTGGCTCTACCCTCCATCCTGTGCCCTCCACCCCTCCCACAGCTCAGACCACACCCCACAGAGAAGAGTACCCACATGGTGAGCCACCAGCATGGGATGACTGTCACGAAGACCCTCCAGGAGGGAGAGGTGAGGTCAAAGGCGGGAGATCTCTCCCATCTGCCCCCCAGATGGGTCACATCAGGGGTGACCCTGTCTCACCAGGGGTGCCCCAGGCTCTGGGAGTTGCTGTCCCTGGGGTCGATGGGGCTGTGGCTTTCCCATGAGGTGGCCAGGTCTCTCCACAGGCAGAGCCACAGTGCCAGAGCTTCTCCTACCGCCAGGCCGAGCTGCGGGGGCTGCTGCTGGAGGGTGCCAGCCTCCTGCTGCTGCGGGTGCTGGCACGCCGGCACACAGTGCCCCCCGGCCTCATCTTCCCAGCCATCGACACCGAGGGCCACCTCTGCACCTCCAGCTACGTGAGCCGCAGCCAGGGGGCCTGTGGGGTTGGGGGGGTCTGGCTCAGGTTGGGAGTGCCAGGGTGGGATGTGGGAGGTGGGAGTGGGCAGAGTGTGGTTGACAGCATGGGAAGGGCACCTGAAGGCAGAGGGGACTCTACGACAAGGGTGACCCCTGGCTGTGCCCCGCCCAGTCTGCCCTGGGCATCCAGCGTCAGGCAGTGGGCTCTGCAGAGACGGAGGTGTTTGTGATGGAGCGAGCCATGCACACCAGCACAGGTGTCTCCACTGTCAGGCAGAGCAGCTTCCTCCCCAATGGGTAAGGGTGAGGGTCTAACTGGGGGCACCCCCAGCCCTGCCAGTCTGGCAGGGACCCAGCATGGGGAGCTCATGGGCTCTCCCCTCTGCAGGCATTTGGTTCAGATGACGCAGGTTGGCTCCCCGACGCTGATGCTTCTGCAGGATGAGTCCATCCTCAGCAAGTCAGGTACTGGGGCAGGGAGGCTCGTGCCCTTTAGCACAGGCAGCCCCTGCCCCCTGCCCACTGTCCAGCAGCTGAGGGGAACACCCTGCCCTGCCTTTCTGCTGCCAGGTGGGTTTGAGCCCCAGCTCCCCTTCCCCAAAGAGCCCCTGAACTGGGAGGAGGACATCCAGCTCTGCTCCTGGTTCCTGGACAGGAAGGTGAGATGGGTGGACATGGGAGCAAGGCAACATGGGGCTGTGCCAGTCCCCAGCAGGGTCTCCCTGGATGTGCCCACGGGACACACTATGGGGGGCAGACTGGCCAGCATCCTCCCTCACACCTTCTTATGTGTGGGAAAGGACCCAGGCACCCTGTCCCCCTCACCCTGGCACAGTGCCTGGGGGGATATGCATGTCCATGCCCACCACACCCACCCTGCTGCAGGAGGAGCTGCAACTATCCCATGCTGCCTACCTCCAGCAGCACCCTGAGGTCCAGGCGCTGCTGTCTGACTTCCTTCAGGCCTTGCTGCTCCAGCAGCCCCATGACCCCATCTCCTTCGCTGCAGAATTCTTCACCCACCAGCGGCCCATGGATACCCCCTTTGCCTCCTCTGGGTCTGCCAGCCCTCTCCCCAGCTCCCCACCTGACCACCGTCCAGCTAATGGGGAATAAAGCTACCAAAACTGCCTGTCCCAGTCTTGTTTGCTTTGGGGAAACTGAGGCTCAGGGAGGGCAGGTGGTGCCAAGTTGTGTGCTAAAGCCCCACCATGGCATCTGGGTGGGACCCTGTCCCCCTCTCAGCTGTTTTAGCCCTTAGGGCTTAAGGTAGGGGGTGCCTGGGGCATATCCTCGAGCAGAGCCAGACTCGCATCCCTATGCCCGCCACTACCTCATGTATAGACCTTGCCCACCTCTCTGTGGGGCACAGCCTGGATGGCAGATGGGTACCCCAGAGAGACAGCTGGAACTAACCAGGCACCCACAGGAGCATCTGAGGTGCTCCCCCTTCCACCTCCACAGCCCCGAGGGTCCTGGGGATGAGGTCCCCACTTTCGTTGTCACAGCTTGACAGTGCAGCAACACTGGCACCCCATCTTTGGAGTGAAGGTCCCCACACCCAAGGGTGACATAAGCACCCTGTACTGCAGAGCTAAGTGCTTCCCCCAGCAGCTGAGGGTGCATTTTGATCTGCTTGTGCAACACATGCCTGCTTCCTCCTCACTTCCACTCCTATGGCATTTCCCCTACTCCCCTGTGGCCAGCCTTGCCTTCCCACTCTGTGAGAAACTGTCCCCTGTCCCCCCGACTGCCCAAGGAGCAGGAGCCCTGGCATGTGATGGAGGGTGACACGCAGACAATGCTCCCACGCTCCTGGTGTGGGTGCCTCGTGCGTGCACGTGTGTGTGTGTGGCAAAGAGGAGCAAAGGGGCCTCCTGGCACAGGGTGGGAACCGAGAGTGTGCACATTCATAGCACCCAGCCCCCAACAGCCAGGGGCCCTTTCCCTACCCAGGTCAGCGGGTAGGGAAGGAACACTTCCTTCTCATATCCTCCTCCTCCTCTCCTCCTCGGGGGGGCAGTGGGGAGGGTCCTTTAAAAGCTGGGCAGCAGGCATTACACCCAGTGTTAGGATCAGAGTGCTCCAGCAGCATGTCTGGATCAGCCCCAGCTATGGCATCGCTGGAACCAGGTGAGCCTCACAACACTTGGGTCCCCTTGTGCGTCCTTTCCTCCCTAGACCCCCTTCCCTCCACCCTGGTACCCCTGGTTCCATTCCATCCCCCAGTGGGCACTGTCCCCCCAAGCCTGTCCTGGATTCCCCCTCTGCCTCATCCTCTGTTCCCCGAAGTCCACCTGTGATTCAACCACATTCCCAGGATGTGGGTGGGCTGGGGAGGGGGGGTTAGGACCAGTACAAACCTCTTGTCCCCACTCCATGCCCACCCAGCAGCAGGACCCTGAGCAGGATTCCCTCCTGCCCAGAAACACACTTGGTTCTTGGACTGGTGAAGACTGGGCTGGGAGCAAGCATTTTAGGGACATCTGAGCTGGAGGTGGCATCTGACCCCTTTGGGTAGCCACCGACAGATCCCATATTGCCACCGTCATGGCCCCCTTGGAAAAATGGTGCTTGTACCTCACAGGACTCACCAAGTAGGGTCAGGTAGGACTGGAGAAAGCTAGTGCCAGAGCTGCCAGTCCACCAGTGTCCTTGTCCCCCTGGCAGGCTGCCACCTCCCCTCCTCCTTTTCCTTGCCCCACCAGGCCTCACTGGGTCCCTGAACCACGGCCAAGCGCAGAGTCACAGCACTGGCGGGAAGCACCCTGGCACTCAGGACCAGACCTACCTGGATGAGCTCATCAGCATCCCCAAGGGCAGCGGGGTAGGCGTTGCCAGGCTGGCACCTCTGTCTGAGGGTGGGAAGATGGGGCAGGGTCCAGTGCTGCAGGGAACTGGAGGTGGGAAGGCAAAGGGCCACCACAGCAGGGGAGATGTATCTTGGACATGCCCTGGGAACATGCCCTCAGCATCCCCAGACCAGGCAAGTCTGAGTGTTTCCAGACCTGTTTTTCCAGATGGAGAAACTGAGGCATGGGGTGAGGAGTTATCCAGCCATAGGAATCACCCCTGCTCACACACCTCTTGGGCCACCGGTGGGTGAGCCCAGTGGGGCTCCCCAGGCTGACTGCACCCCACCAATCCTCCCATCCCCGTCCTGGGGTGGTGGAACAGAGAAGGGGGAAGGAATAGGGTTCCCCTATCAGGAGGGGTAGTGAAAGCAGAGCTTTGCAGTGGGATCCCACGGGATGCAATTAACGGTGTCTGACAACCCTGTGACCCCCCTGCAAATCACTGTCCAACCTGTCCCCGGGTGGGATGGAGGGGCTCACTGCCCTTACAGCACTACTGCTAACAGAGAGAGACTGGGGGCAGCAGTTCCCCCCGCTCCAAACTGTCGGAGAAATGTTCTCCATGTGCCAAATGCATGCGTGTGGGCAGCACCAGGTTAAAGGGGACTGGATGTGCAACTGGGAGACACTGGGCTTAAAGAGGAGCTCCTGGCTCTGACTTGCTGCCTTGTCCCAGTCGGGGTTCAGCTTTAAGAAACTCTGGGCTTTCACCGGTCCCGGCTTCCTCATGAGCATCGCCTACCTGGACCCGGGCAACGTGGAGTCGGACCTGCAGTGTGGAGCAGTGGCAGGGTTCAAGGTGAGCCCTGGGCCCCCTGACTTTGGGATCAGGAAGTAGGCAGGGGTTTCGTAACCTCTCCCGTGCCAACGGCCGTCCAGTACCATGGCTGCTGGCTTCCCCAGCCCGGGAGTGGGAAGCACATGGGGGGCCCTTGGCACTATGGGAGGGCACCCAGGGGTGTCTCTGACTGGGCTGGGAGATCACTTCCACCCCCTCTCTTCCCTGCATTCCCTGGGCTGGTTGAGCTACGGACCGTCGGGCGGCCAAATCCTGGCCGGTACCCAGTCCCTGTTGCCTCCCTCCCTCCTTCCTACCCTCCCAGCTGCTGTGGGTGCTGCTGTGGGCCACTGTCCTGGGGCTGCTGTGCCAGCGCCTGGCCATCCGGCTGGGCGTGGTGACTGGGAAGGACCTGGGCGAGATTTGCTACCTCTATTACCCCAAGGTGAGCAGCCACGGGGAGCCCCCTGGGATCACAGTCTGAAGGGACCTTGCACTTGGGATGGTGACAGTCCTAGCAGGGACTTGGGAGGCTGGAGAGGAGCAGGAAGATGCTGCAAGAGCCCTGCCTCTCCCAGGGGCTCCCCAAAGCCCCCCAAGCCCCGGTGCCCCCCATCTGGTGCCCACACCCCTGGGGTACAGGAGCCCGGGGAGGGGGGGAGCTACCTCGGTGTCCTGGTCCGACCTGGGGACATATGAGAGCGTCCCCCGCGGGGGGTGAGCCCAAGCGTCAGGGCAGCGACTCGCTGCCGAGATGCGGTTGGAGCCTGGGCAAGTTGGGGCAGGAAACTGGGGGGCCTCGAGGGGAGGGATCACATGGCGAAGGAGGGGAGGAGCTCAGGGTCCCTTTTAGGCGTCAGGATCCTGCTGGTGGGTGGAACGAACGAGGAGATGTTGGCTGAATGACAGGCCCCCAAAAGGAGGATGCATCCCTCTGCCCTGCCCCCCCCCCCCTCGAAGCATCATCTCCAGACAGCTGGGTCCTATCCTCAACTCCCACTGGGGCAGGGATGGGGATGGGAGTGCAGGCTGAGATTTAGCATTCATCTTTCACCCTGAGATTGTCGTGTAAGAAACTAAGAGGCATCTCCTGGGGTTCCCATGTTGTTCTGGGTGGCCTGCCACAGCCTGGGGACAGGGTTTCCACCCAGGATGCTGTGCCAGCTCACCCAGGGCCAAGCCACACTGTGGGCTCAGACACCTCATGGTGCCCTGGCCCTTCCAGGTGCCCCGTGTGCTGCTCTGGCTCATGATGGAGATCGCCATCATCGGCTCTGACATGCAGGAGGTGATCGGGACAGCCATTGCTTTCAGTCTGCTCTCAGCTGGCCGGTGAGCCTCCCCATGGGGATCCCCTAGCCTCCTCCACGGCCCCACTCCACAGAGGGGCATGTATCTAATCCCCCCCTTGCCATCCTGCAGCATTCCCCTCTGGGGTGGGGTCCTCATCACCGTTGTAGACACCCTCTTCTTCCTCTTCCTCGATAAGTACGGTGAGTGCCAGGGTGGGGGGGATGGGGTTACACTCACCCAGGCAGCCCTGGTGCCAATGTGACACCAGTGTCCCCTGCTTCATCCCGCCCCATCTCTTGACTCCTCTAGGGCTCCGCAAACTGGAGGCTTTCTTTGGCCTCCTCATCACCATCATGGCCCTGACCTTCGGCTACGAGGTGAAGGGGGGAGCTGGGCACAACCCTTTTCCTGCAGGGTACTGGCAAGGGACCCCCATGTGGGGTGTTCCCACTGGTACCAGCCTGCAGCAGGAGGGTGGCAGCTCACAGTGACCCTTCCCACTGACCCCCAGTACGTGGTGGTGAGGCCAGTGCAGGTGAAAGTGCTGAAGGGCATTTTCCTGCCCTACTGCCCGGGCTGTGGGCGAGAGGAGCTGCTGCAGGCTGTGGGCATTGTTGGCGCCATCATTATGCCCCATAACATCTTCCTCCACTCCTCCTTGGTCAAGGTGAGACCAAGATACTGCCATGGGCACTGCCCCCCCGGTGGGGGGACGCTTGGTGGGGACCAGCTGGTCCTGGCTGCACGACAGGGCCGCTCCACTGACCCTGTGACACTCATGTCACTACCATGCCCAGACACGGGCAATCGACCGATCCAAGAAGCAGGCAGTGCAGGAGGCCAACATGTATTTCCTGACTGAGTCCTGTCTAGCCCTCTTCGTCTCCTTCCTCATCAACCTCTTTGTCATGGCTGTCTTCGGCGAGGCTTTCTACCACCAGCGAAACGAGGACGTGGTGAGTGTCACCTTGTGCCCACAGGGAGGTGACAGCTGTGCCCAGCTGTGGAGATGGGCAGGGCAATCATCCCTTGGAGAATGGATATTCTCTGAGACACGGGGTGTGGGGGTCCCCCCGTGTCTGTGGGGCCACTGGGTGGCTGTCACGCTTGTGCCTGCCATGCCTTGCAGCACAACAAGTGCATCAACAGCAGCATCAGCCACTATGCCGACATTTTCCCTGCCAACAACGAGACAGTCTCTGTGGATATCTACCAGGGGGTGAGTGGCACCAGGCTGTACCCAGTGAGCATCCATTCCCATTCGGGGGACACATCACTCCCCCCACTGACTCCTGGGGATGGGGGCTATTGCAATCCCACTGAAAAGCTGGGAGCTGATGGGGATGCCTAGAGTGGGGGACACTCTGGGGTGCCCACTGGAGCGTCCTCACATAGGGTGTCATCCTGGGCTGCTATTTCGGGGCAGCGGCATTGTACATCTGGGCCATTGGGATCCTGGCAGCAGGACAGAGTTCTACGATGACCGGGACTTATGCTGGGCAGTTCGTCATGGAGGTGAGAGACAGGGATCTTGGCCCTTGCTCCCACACGGAGCAGCTGGGAGCAGGGGAATCACAGGTGGACCCTGGGTGGGAGGTTCTACGGGCAGCACATTTCCCCAAAGAGTATTGAGAAGTGTTAATTGCCCCCCATTCCTGCAGGGAGCCGGGCATGGAGCATTTCCCACCTGGTGGGTGGCAGCTTGCTAGCACCAGTGTCCCTGGTCCCTAGGAGGAGGGATGGGAACAGTGCCCACCCACTTCACTTCATTGCCACCCCTGTCCCCTGTGACACTCTGTGGTGCCCCACGCAGTGCTTCCCTAATTAGATCCTCTGTTAATGAGCTGGAGCTGACACCTAGTGGGGCCCGGCAGCCCTGCAAGGGGCCAATCAGCACAGAGAAGGGGGTAATGCCCCCCATATTCCTCCCAGCCAGTGTCTGGGGATCACCCTGACATGGTGCCTCAGGCATGGCGAGGGTGCAAGTTTTGCCGTGTCCCAGGGCTTCCTGCAGCTCCGCTGGTCTCGCTTCACCCGGGTGCTCTTCACCCGCTCCTTTGCCATCCTGCCCACCGTTTTTGTGGCCACTTTCAAGGATGTCAGCCACCTCACAGGCATGAATGACCTGCTCAACGTCCTGCAGAGCATCCTGGTAAGGGGGAGGGAAGGCATCACCTGCTCCCAAACACCCCAGCCTGGTGGCCATGCGCCCCTCATCTCCCTCTCCTTCCAGCTGCCCTTCGCTGTCCTGCCTGTCCTCACCTTCACCAGCCTGCACCCGCTCATGCAGGACTTCACCAACAGCCTGTGAGTGCCAGGGCAAGGGGAGGCACAGAGGGGGGCAGAGTGGGGCACTCCAGCTGCACGTCTGTCCCTTTGTCCCATCCTGGCCCCCTCAACCATGCCACAGGGGCAATTAGCGTATGGATGTTGGAGGGGTATGTTCATTCCCACCTGCCCAGGGCAGACAAAGTGGAACAGACCCTGTCAGCACCCTCTCCATCCTTCTCCCAATGGCTCTTGGGCACCCCTGGGTCCTCAGCATCCTCCTGGCACTCCCAGCCCTGGACTTGGAGGACGGACGAAGCCCACACCAAAAGCCCTGGGGTGGGAGTGAAATATAGCTGTGGGGTGCAGAGATGTCCCAGTTGGGGTCTTGCTCACCTACAAACCCAGTTTCCCCAGCCATCTGTGCACAGCAGCACAGGGGGTGGGGGCCCTGCCCTGGCGCTGATGCCCACTGCCCTGCCCTCAGCCCAGGGAAGGTGCTGATGACCCTCA